GAAAGATAAGGAACGGATCTACGAGACAATGAAGGGATCCGGATTGGAGGCCCGAGTCGGATCAGCCGATAAAAAGAGAGAGGTCGGGGTAAATAGCAAGTTTGATGTGGCCACACTAGATTCGCCACAAAAGGGCACACATTTTGATGATTGGAATGTAAACAAGTAAGAAGTTGTGATAGGGCGGCAGTGGGATAAGAGGGTTAAGAGTAGATAGATAGACAATGACAGAAAGAGGAGTGATAGTGTAACCGTTTTTATCAGAACGTTTGTCGAGGGATTGACTTCACTTGTCATTTTGACGAGTTCGTAGCTTGGTGTGGAGAATGGCAAAACTCACTGATGATGCCGACTACGATGCTGATGAAACATTTGAAAATGTATCAAGTCCGCTGTCTAATGTTCAGAATTATGACAACTACTACTATGGCAGAAGAATTCGGACTAGGTGCGTTCTACATAGTCCCCCTGACAACAAGACCAAGTTGCGACAATGAGATCAACCCACTTCTATAAATAATTTTTCTTTATCTTTTACAATAACTGATAACGCTTTATGTATCATCCGCTTTCAGGTTAGTTTGAATATTCTAACGAGAATTAGTTCATATTTATTTCCTTTGATTTCAAAGATCCGTATGTAGAAATTATGCAATGCTTGTGAATACTGATCATTATTATGCTCACCAAATAAAAGGGCTTTCATTTGAGAGGTTGGCTCGAAATTCATTCAACGGAAGAATTTCCCCTTTCTTCTGTCGAATGTACATCGCTTGATCTCGTGCAGGAGGCAGACGTCCGGCAAGAATATCTGTGACGCGAATTGAGTTGAAGTATACGCCTAATGGAAAAAAACGCATTAAATTACTACACATCATATTAATCGAATTTATGTATGTATTTTTGTGTAGTCGCCGTATCAGATTGCCCCCATACATATCAAAATGTGCTCAAGTAGTCACCCGGAGTACATTAAGATATCTTGGTCTTAAATGCTAGCCTATGATACCAGTTAAAGTATGCTACAATTGTTAGACCTCTTAATATAAACTAGATTTTTTCATAACCATTTTAGCAAATAGGGCATACTTTTTTGACTGAAAAAGAGTCCGTCGTTTGAAAGAGATTATCCCCAGTTGTTTGTATAGTCACGCTTCTCCGCTGGGGCCTGTGCAAGAATGGCTGATCTTTGTCAAAATCTGTCAGGCGCCATATTTAGTTAAGGTGATCTTGCAATTCGTGCAATTTTTGCAACTGAATCATAAGCATCCGAGTTAGCCCATTTTTGAAGGTAGAAACCCATCCAATATGTTCTTCCTTACTTTAGTCTGGCTTATACAAGTACAAGATAGTTTCAAAGTCTACTCTGGCCTTTATTCTGGCCTGAAGGTGTGCAGGACAAAGCCAAGAGTGACTTTGGGGCTCGAGAAAGCTCCGCTTTCGTATATTATAGTTGTTAAAATAGAGAAATTTTTCCGTGAAAACTATTGTCTGGGCAGAGAGACTAGAGCTATAACAACAGACGAATAAGTATAAGAGAGGAAAGTTGAAGATCTATAGTTTAGGGTAGGCACACAGAAGTTATATAGATTTTAAGGCTGTAACAACTTCCTTGCCTGGATCGTTTGCCTTGAATAAAAAGAGTCTCGGATTGGATACGATAAGAAGAGAGAGGAAATGCATATACGTACGTGTATGACTGAAGAATAAAGATAAAGTAATGAACGTCCTGATAAAAATAATAGATAGGCTTAAATACATAAAAATAAAGGTAAATAGCATATGTGAAGGAGAGAAATTATTTTGAGATATTAATGCGTAAACTTTTGATGCTTTCTCCAAATTTATGAAATTTCCTCTCTTATCCATACTTCAGCCCATATGAAGACTGAAAGCACCCTCGCATCAGAAAGCCGATTAACTTAATTTGAGATCAATAAAACCACGTTTAATGAGGTTAATCATGATATTAAGCAAAAATAAAGAAGAATATTTTCGAATAAATTTGATTTTAAGTGATATGGCTTTTGATACTTAGTAAAAGCTGCGGCGGTAAGCTAAAGAGTCACGTCAACCTCAATGCAAAAGCGAGCTGAATACCTCGTAGTTAAATAATCGTGAAAAAATACTAAATTTGGATGCTCAACTAATTTAACCATGTTGTCTGTTGACGATTTTTACAGGAGCTAGAACTCTAGCCATGATAGGTCTTTTAAGATGATAAAAATTGATAGTTGAGTTTCCCAAATTGAAATAAGTCTTCTTTAGTAGTTTCTCTCATAATGCTTATTATCGCAGGCCTTCTAGTCAATTTGTTACGCGAACTTAGGATTTCAGTCCTTACATCACCTTAAACTACCTAGGGTAACACGATCTCGTTGCAAAATCTACTGATAGTTCCGCGATAGGCTAACTTTCTATAAATATGCTTTGTGAGACTTTGAGTGCATTAATAGTTAATACCAAATATCGTTCTATATTTTAGCTCAGGGTAGTTTACGAGGTTATCAGTAATTCTTGAAAAAGAATTTAGTTATTATCGGCTACTTAAGGTGATTTAAGTGCTGATAGTTAAGTTTGTTCACAACAAACTGGTTAGGTCTCACAATGGTACTGAATTATACTTAGGTTGGTCCCCCAAAATGTGTCTTATCCAGGATATATTGAGGTTTTTGGCTCACCTAGGTCTATAAACATCCCCAACGGGAATCGAAATCTGGTCTCGGAAAAGGTGGAGACAGGTTACTACTTCGCTACAGGGCCAGCATTAATTTCAGAAAAAGATAAAACCCCCGAAATCACATACATTTTGGGATTAGTGATGAGGCAAAGAAAGTACTTGTTTTTTACACAAGCAATAATAGATACTATCTGTAAGTTTTGAGTAAGATCTCCGATATCAGCAAGCAAAGC